ATTGGTATTCAGTTTTTGTTTTTTCCGAGTCATCTGTTTTACATTTTTGAGATGTTTGCATAAAAGATCAGTATATTTAGGCATCTATTTTGCAATAGAATATGGAATCAGGTTGCCTTCAGCTGCAAGTAAGAGAAAATGAAAATTCATTTGATTTAAACGAAAATACAATCTACTTTTTCATAATATACAATATTCAGTGATAGTACCCTCCAAAGTTTGGTTGAGTCAGTAACTTAGTCATGTCACCAAGATGTGAGGAGCCTGAGTTTGCTGGCTATTCTGCTGCCCTTAGCATAAAACAGATTTCCTTCCTAATTACAAATGGCTTTAGCAATTCCTGTGGTTGAAACTGGACACAATGATGTCGTAAGGCAGAAAGATGCTACTTCTTCTTGGTGGTTCTTCTGGAGAGTATGGAGACCTTTCCCAGATGTGCTCCAACAGACCTTTGCTCAGACATCACTCACTGGTCAGAACAACATTACCCACTTAAGAGCAGGGAACATATGACAAGTGTGGTTGGCTTATGGTGGTTGATCTCTCCCCAGTTAAGGGGCAAGTGGTGGGCTGTGGGATTCTTCCAGCAGAGAGGGCTCAGGGTGATTGATGGACCATAGCCAGCAGTGTCCCCTCTAAATGGGCTCTGTATGTCTGGGCAGGGTTAGTCCTGGACTTAATTGTGTGATTTGGGGAAAATTAGTTGACGTCTCTGTGTTAGAATTTCACCATCTTGAAAATAACGTCTGTCGTAGTCTTGTAAGTCTGATTTCTGCTGTAAGTCTCAATACATGACGTCCAATTAGTTAAGATTAACAAAAGACTTTTAACGTCTTCAGTAAGAACTCTTGGAATAATCAGCTCCATCTTAGGGGAGGTGGTATTTTGACCAAGAGATATAGTGCTTTTCAAATTCTACGTGGCCCATGTCAGGGACCTGAAGGAGCGACATGTGCTGGGAGGGGTGCTGATGGGTATTTGGGGCTCGAGTCTCAGCATCTAGCTCCGGGAGCTTGGACGCTTGGGCCTCCCTGCTCACTCCAACGTAAAAGGTGAGTCTCAGGCTCTGCCACCCATGTCCTCCCAGTGTCCTGTGGTGCATGGGATGTTCATGGCTAAAGAGCTGGGAGTGCAGGGCCAGTGTGGACCTTGCCAAACCCACTGCTTTGTCGCCAGGGGCCCCACTGCTAGGGACTGGCTAGACCCATCTGCTCCTTCTTAGGATGAGGGAGGGAGGGACTCCTGGAGGTAGGAGAGTTTCTTAACAATCCTTCCTCTGGAGCCCTTACTAGACATCAGGCCTTTATATTGTGATATTACTGAGAGCAGTTTAGATTTGTTAAGAATAACAATTTAGTAATGCATTGTAAATGAGATGTTAGCAGAGTTTAAGTATCAGGGGAATTTTAAAAATGGAATACAAAATGGAAAACTCTGAGCTGCTGATTTACATTTTTCAGTACCATCAGCACTACCAGTTTAACCATTGTAACTGTTTAGGACAGAACGCTTTTCTACATGTGCTGTGTACATCCCGTTTTTTAAAACAACGTTTTATTTTGGCTAAACATGTGGAGTATGATTTAGCTGCCATGGGGGCTGTATATTCTTAACTGTTTCTCCAGGGCATGCAGCTGCTGTATTTTTGAATTTTGTGTCTGCATTTTATAGTTTCTTGTTACCATTGTGTCACAGATCCTTTCTTCACATTGTCAGCTCTTAACACTAGCAACCCCCTCTTTGATCGTGGGCAGAGAAATACCGAGGCACAGTGAAGCCCCACGGGCGTGGGTGAGGGACACAGAAGCTCAGTGTGACTTCTCAGCCTTCTTTCATTTCTTTTTTCTCAGCTACGTCCTTAGGTTACTTGGAATTGATCCCTGCCAGATGAGGATTTCTTGTACTTAAATAATGTGTAAAGACTGTTATTAGTAGGAATTTAGTTGATATGAGCAGTACATTTTGATTCTGCTAAGATCATTAAACTTTCTGAGCAAGTGAAGTGTGAGACACCACATTGAATGCCAATGCATGGAAGTAAGGTAAACAGAAACACGGTTTACAGCCACCGTGACTCCTCCCGCCCACGACAACAGGCCTTACTAATTGGTCATGTCATTCTTTCCAGCGGAGTTCAGACAAAGCCCGTGATCCCTCACACAGCACGCCAGGCAGATGCTGCCTGCTGGTTAGAGCAGGACTCCAGAAGGAAGCACTTCTGGGTCACTTAGCTGGGGCTCAGCATGTTGTGGCTTAGCCTAAGCCTCCACTCAGTCGATATATTTCCCCCAAAGCTCTAACTTGGAGGCATGGGGTACAAATAAATAAAGTGAGAAAAACTTCCAGAGGTGAAAGGATTTTCTTACTAAGTAAAGTATGAGAACCAGCATGAAGAATCCAAACCAAAATAAACTTAAAAACTCTAAGTTCTCCACCTCCCTCTCAGAGACTGCTGACTGGTGAAAATGACCAGCAAGCTAATGAATGCCACACGCATGTATCAGGAAGATTCAGACTGTAACTCTTTTAACTTGTGAGGCTAGTGGGAAAAGATGCAAGATTGACTTTGTCTAAGTGGAAGTGGTGCCACCTCCTGAAATCTCATCTGTCTTCTTTTCTGTTATAATTCTAAGCCAGGCCTCCCCCACCCAATTAAAAAAGGAACATAGTGAAGAAGGGCAGTGTAACAGAATGTGAATGGGATGCCCTGTCCTGGCTGAGGTGCTCGCACAGTAGGCATTAGACTCTAGAGTGAATGGCGTCTCACTGTGCAGGGTTGATAGAGGAACTCCTCGATATCTGGTTTTGCAGCTCACATTCCTTGTTCTTATAGGGACCACAGAGGGAGAGGATGTGTAGAGAGGCGAGGAGGATTTGTGCAGAGATTTCTGTGGGGAGAGCCGGGCTAGGCCACAAAGGGGGGAGGACACAGAATGTGTGAGCATCTCCACTTAGTCCTGGTGAATGGGACCTCCAGGTGACAGTGTTCCCTGCAGCTGTGAGACACAGAACCTGCGTGGACAGTTTTTAGGGGTGTTCCCCATGTCCAGGTGAGCAAGCGACTTGCTGGAGGGAGTGGGTTCTAGGCCATTGGAAGTTGTGCCTAAGGAGACTGGTCAGCTGAACGAGGAGGGTCTCCAGCAGGGAGTGCCTACAGTAAGGCTGAGAGACCACTCGAGGCTGAGGGGTGGCAGTAGAAAAATGATGCATCCATGAGTCAGGGCTTGGGGAGTTCTCCAGAGCCCTTGAGGGAACCTGTGAAAATGCCCACAGACTCAGGTAGGATTTAATACCTGGCAGGCAGAGAGCAAAGGCCACCCATGGCAGTACCAGGCACAGGCCCCAAAGGACATTCCATTCTTACCTCTCCATCCATGCTACCCTTAACCTCTACAACAGAGCTCCCACTTTCCCCCCAGTCAAGCAAGTAGCCTAGTAACTATTCACCTTGGCTGGGAAAGAGGGAAGAAAAAAATGTTATCTTTGAGTGAAGTTGGAGTGTTGATCATGGACTAAGCTGCCTAATTGAGCTGTGTTTGTAATGATGAGACAGCAAGACTCTCCCAGGGAAGAGTAAGTAGAAAAGTCATTGGACTACCCACGTTAAGAATTCTTTTAGGGTAGGGGTCATTTCACCACTGCATAAATGTTAAAGAGATACTGTGCTATCAAATGATCCGTATCTAGTTTATACTTTATGAGTTGGATTTGTCCATTGTATCGGGATAGGGGACACATCTTAGAGGGGACAGCATATCAGATGAACGAAGTAAACACCAACATGGTAGAAAGCAACATGCGAGACAGTATAGTCTTAGAGGCTGCTGAAGCACCAGGTTTCAGGCCTCGAGTGGCAGAAATGAGCCCTGAGAGACAAGCAGTTTCAGTTCATGGACATGCTTGGATTTCATCCTGCAAATGGGGCAGTGGGGGCCAGCGAAGGCTGCCAGGTTGTGAGCCTCAGTGGACACATGTGGCATCCCAGCATGGAGCCTGACCTATAGTAGATGCTTGATTAGTAGATGCTTGAAGAATATGTAAATGAATTGATCCAGAAGTCAATCTTAAACATGTAGGCAAGATGAGGGATCTACAGATTATGTATATAGCCTGTTGTTATCATAAGCTTTTCTTAAAGTCATTCTAGACATGGACATGATGGTTAGATGTGGTTTTTATTAGTATTTGCATGATTTCTTAGACAGTATGTCTTTTTTTATTTATTTTTATTTTTTTTTTTATTTATTTTTATTTTATTTTTTTTGAGACGGAGTTTCGCTCTTGTTACCCAGGCTGGAGTGCAATGGCACGATCTCGGCTCACCGCAACCTCCGCCTCCCGGGTTCAGGCAATTCTCCTGCCCCAGCCTCCTGAGTCGCTGGGATTACAGGCACGCGCCACCATGCCCAGCTAATTTTTTGTATTTTTAGTAGAGACGGGGTTTCACCATGTTGACCAGGATGGTCTTGATCTCTTGACCTTGTGATCCACCCGCCTCGGCCTCCCAAAGTGCTGGGATTACAGGCTTGAGCCACCGCGCCCGGCCGACAGTATGTCTTAAAACAACTTTCATATAGGTTTTAACAAAAATCATTTAACAAAGTGATTTCATATTTTAAAAGTTCACTGTATTCAAATTTTGATTTTTATACATTGAATGGGAATTGATTTCATATTTTGATAGGTTTAATAAAACATCAACTCAGCCTGATGTCTTAATCCTCTTTAAACTTCATTTTCTTTTATTGATTTAATTTCTGTATTTCAACTAGTTTCCTATCTTTTCTATGTTAACCAAAGTTTACATGATAGAAAAATCAGCCATGATGTGGGAAATGTATTTTGTACCTATATATAAACATATTCTGGATAATGTATTATTAATATGTATCATTGTAATGGTTTGTATTCATATATGTTACACTGGATACTCAGTGATATTTGTTACATTTTTGTCATAATAACCATTAAAATATGTTTTAAACCTTTTTTCCCCTCAGAAGTAAATTTTCCCAGAAGGACTTAGAAATGCTGTTCCATGGAATGAGTGCTGATTTTACAAGTGAGAATTTTTCAGCTGCCTGGTATCTTATAGAGAATCACTCAAACACCAGGTTAGTGGATATGAGACTGTCATCTGTGAAGGGTTTCACTCAATTGCTAAAAATGGGATCACACGGTAACTTGAATTTTAGGTCTGGCTCTGCATTCAGTAATACAGTTTTAGGCCTATGGGTGAGCCTGTGAACATCTCAGGGTGTCTGTTTCCTTATTTGTACAATGAGATGATTAATTAGAGGTCTCTTATTTCCTACTGTCATTTTATCTTCTATATATTTTATTATTGATGTAGGTTATTAAAACTTTATGGCACCTTAGTTGGGGAGTTAAACTGACATGTATGAATTGATCTCTCCCTACTCAAATAACATAAAAATTTTAAGTTCTAGTGTAAAACATGAAACATACTGCTTCTCTGACCAAAGAGCAAAGGAAGATGAGTTGGTTTATCATCATGGAAGGACCTGGCTTAAAATTAGCAAAAAAGCAGACAAGGTCATATATCCAATTTGAAGGTTCCCTTTTGTCTTCTAATTAAATTTTACTCACTCTCTAAAAGAGCTGATTTGTAGCTTATTTGCAAGATTGATTTAAAATAATTATATTTAGCAAAAAATGTTTGGATAAATCAATGGTTTATTGCTTAAAACTTAAATCAGTGTGTTAAAATATACCTTAATATAAATTTTACATTTACTTATTAGGATGAAAAGCACTACTAGAAAACATAAGAAAAAGTTGGCATTTTAATACATAGGGTAAATTTAGGCCTGATTGCTTTATAAAGCAAATGTCCAAGATGAATTTTTTTCATTGTGGAAGATGATTCTAATTTTACATTACAGATGTGAAATTTCTATTTTTATATGTCAGAATTGGGTTCTGCTTCTTGTGTAGATCTGTCAAGAATATGTTTAAAGTTTTATAGCCAGTTTTTCTTAGCTCAAATGGACATAAAACTTCTGAAATACAGAGGCCTGCCTTTGTTTTTCTCTGCTTGAGATATTGAGATAAGATACTGTGGTCTTCCTAGTTATTTAAGTTGTGAATTCACCCACAGGATTTATGTCATTTTATTGTTAAGGACAGAGGCCTGGATATTGATAAATATACCATTCTGCTCAGTGTTCCACAATGCTTCAGTGAATCTACAGAGGAGTTACACCTTTGAAATATTGTCTATCACTGGGTGACCTATGTTTTCTTATCTGGTACAGGATGTTCAAAACTCTTTATCTGGTAAATTGTATATATATAGGTTATAAAAACATCTACACATTTACTTGTTAGGGTTCTAACATTTGGAGTCACCATTGAGGACCCCAAAACTCTTTTATAGCTGTTGTAATGTAAGCATTCCTAATAAATAAAAGGTTTAGATCTATGTAACTAAACCATAGATTTAAAAGGTTTAAATCTATGAAAGCTTTTTGTTTTCATCTGGCTTTGTATGATATTAATCTGTATGCTGCTTAGCATCAGTTTTAGCATATTAAGTGTTTTCCACTGAAGGAATTCTTTTTTCTTTTTTGCATGTTAAAAGTCTCACACGTTTGTTTTTTTTTTATTTCATTTCAGTTTTGAGCAGCTCAAAATGGCCGTCACCAACCTCAAGAGACAGGCTAACAAGAAGAGCGAGGGCAGCCTGGCCTATGTGAAAGGCGGTCTTAGTACATTCTTTGAAGCACAGGATGCCCTCTCAGGTAAGGTGATCCTCAGAGCCATCTGCTGGCAGCTTCCGCCATGGAAACCTGACCCTGCCTGCAGGGTGTTTACAGGGTGGGACATTTGGTCTGTTTTTATCATAGTAGAGATCTAAAATGTGCCATAAATATTTGTTGCAGATTCAGTTGGACTCTTTAAAGACTTGGTACTTGAAAAATTTATCTCTGAGGCTTTTGTTGACCCATCTTACATGTGTGAAATGGGAGACTACTTTAACTCTCTGTGATGCCTACACCCCAGGGCTGATAAGAAATTAAATCCCAATGAGTAAATTTGAGGATTTCAAAAGTCCTTTCACAACCATCAATATCTTACATATGTGACTAATTCTGTAGATGTGACCCATTGTGTGTTCAGTTTGAAAAGGCTGATGACAGGGTACCAGTCTCCTCAGCCCTTATCCCACAGGCCCCCCGACATGCACACAGGTAGCTGTTACTGTGCCATCCCCTGTGTATGGGAGGGACATTGTGTGGAGTACAGATGTCATAGCTTTAGACGTTTTAATGCAGGATGTTGGTAGAGTTTTTTAATAAAACAGCCTTTTAATTTATAAAAGCTTAATTGTTGCTATTTAGTAAAAAGTAATCTATATTAACAAAAGTTAATTCTTTTTAAAAGCTAAGGTACTTACAACTAAGTACCCATATAGCTAAGTATCCATAACTCTAACCGTACATTGAGGCCACATCTTCTTCAATTCAGGAAGGTAAATTTTAAAAATTGTTTTATATTCCTAAAATACTGACATTCTTTTATTGTTTTAAAAGCCCCCCTTTTCCTGTGCAGTACAGGCCTAATTGATCTCCAACACATTAAATGTGTTTGTGATGCAGCTTCTTCCTTGCAGGTAGAAGTTGGATTTTTGAAGGGGTAAAGTGTGACTGTCCGGGAGGGAACAGAGACGGTACATGCTCTTCCTTGATAAATATGTGTGCCTTACGTTTCTTGATGGTGTGCCTTTCTTTATTTGTGCTTATTGCTGTTCTAAGTTATCAATAGTTAATCTTACCATGTCAGGAAGAAAATCTGAGCATGTGTGAACAGAGTTTAGTATTAATCAGGTAAAGATGGTTATCATATGCTTAGTAGCTGCACAAATGTTTCCCACAAATTATTGTAATCAAAATGATTTATCTTAGCAACAAGACAGGTTTGACTTTTCTCTCCACCCTTTTTAAAAAACATATTTACATATATATATATATGTATATTTGTGTTTATGATGGCTTCACTGTTGGTAGATCTTAAGAAGTTTTATTTGGTACACTAAATTTATGTAGTCTCATTTATTAGTCATTCACCCTAGAAGTATGTTAGTAACTGGAAGTTTAATAAAGATAATGCTGACCAGCTACTAATAAACAAATGACTTTATGGCATATAGGAAGTGATTATAATAAGAAATTTGAAAACTTTAGATGCATGTATTTAGCTTTTATGTTTTTTGAAATAAAGGAAATGAATATTATAAAAAATACTAAACACATAATTAGCAAGAATATCTGTTGTAGAGGTAATCACATTAACATTTTAATGTATTTCCTTTTATCTTCTTTTGTTAGGTTGAATGAGTACTCATTACAAAATTGAGGTTATATTGTATGTAGAATTGTGTGTACTAGAAACCTTTTTATTCTTTAGGTGAAACCTGTTGTGTCTCTGATTATGTTAATTTACTACAGCATTAATAGCTTTTTATAACTTTTTCTCACTGTAGTCTTAATCTGTATTTTAGTAAAGTGCTGTTTTGGTCAGGTTCGAGTGTGAATGTTGGGTGGTAATGTGTGGATCTCTGTGTGTGTTGCTCTGTGTGCTGTCTATGGGCTATGTAGACTAGGAATTACATGATTCAAATTTGACAGAGCTGGTAAGTAAAGTTGCTCAGGTAATTTGTTTTTGCTTTTCTATTATGAAAATTTTCAAACAGGAGATGAAATTATAATCAACTCCTATATACCTATCACCTAGGTTTAACAATTATTATTCTTGTGTTATACTTGCTTTTGAGATGGGTTTGTTTGCATTTTGCTGATGTATTTTAAAGCAAATCTCAAACAGCATGGTGTTTTTCTCCTAAATACCTGAGTATGAATCTACCAAATAAGGGTAAGAACATTTATGTATATAATCATAACGATACTACCATAGTTAACCAAATTAGCAATACTTTTTTAATATCATCTCATTCCCAGTTCACATTTCTCCACTTATCCCCAAACTCTTTTTTTATAGTTGATATGTCTAGATCAAGATTCAAAGAAAATTCAGGCATTTCACTTAATTTTTAAATCTCTTAAACCTCTTTTAAACTAAAACTATCCCCTTACTTTTCCTACCCTGTTTCTGGTTTTTCATGCCATTGATTTGTTGAAGAAACAAGGTCATTTATCCTGGAAGATATCCCCTACTCTGAATTTGACCGATGACTTACTCATGGTGTCATTTAACTTATTTTTCTTGCCATTATATTGCTTGGACTTATCTAATTGGATATTAGATAAGATTCACTTTCAGCATTTTTAGGCACGGCTGGTACTGTGCTTCTTGTTTCAACACACCAGGCAGCAGGAGTGCGTTAGTGTCTGGGGTCTCTCCTGAGGAGACACTGCAGTGCATCAGTAGCTTCAAGGGGTGATTGGGAACCAGCAGGTGAGACAGAGATACATATATGTGTGTACACAGACACACACACACACACACACACACACACACACACACGCATACTTTTCAAACCTCTGTTGTCTCTGCTTTATTTTACTTTGTTTTCCCTGAAATTTTCTTTTTTATCAAGATTTTCATGTTTTGTTAGGATTGCATTATAATTTTTAAATTATTTAAAATTCGCATTATGGGCCCTTTCATTATGTTTAGTATTTGTATGTTCTATGTCATTTTTAAACATTCATTCTTTAGGGATATCTTTTTTGTGTTTTTAAAATGTGCAATTTTAATTTTCCTTCTTGACTTAGTAGTTTATAGTAAATTTTTGTGTTCATAGTCTCTATTCTTACAGTATTGTGAACAGAGAATATGTTTTTTAATGTATATTAGGTTTGTATAAGTATGCCAAAAATTACAAAGGACAGACGGGCATGTTTTCTTCAGGGTCCACGATTTGATATAATATCAATGCCTGATTAATTATATTACTTAAATCTAGCTTATTTATACTAAACATGACAGACAGATCTCCTTTTTAAATTCTGATTCTGTCAATTTTTCTTTGTATGTAAAGCATGCATTTACTTTGTAACTTTTGATGGTTTAGAGTCTCTTGATGATAATATATTTGTAAGAAGTCCCCAAGATTATCCTCAGTTTGGTTGTTGCTAGAAGCACTCACAGAACTTAGTGAAGGCTGTTGTACTCAGAGTTTTGGTTTATTACAGGGAAATTGCAGATTATAGTCAGCCAAGGATAGAGATTCATGGAGCAGATGTAGGAAAATTCCATCCATGGAGTTTCCAGTAGTCTCCCAGTGGAATTGCAGTTAGCACTGACTTTCCCGGTAACAGTACGTGACAACACACATGGAATGCTTCCATCCAAGGAAGCTGTCCAAACCTTGTTGTCGGATCCAGAGTCTTTAGTAGGGCTTGTCACATGGATGTGGTCAAGGGTCTTTATGGCTGACTTCAATCTCCATTCCCTCAGATCAGGCTGATACTGAGTGACCTTAAGGCCTCACCCATAAATTCCATTGTTAGACTGTCTAGTGTGGCCCATGGCCCACAGGCAAACAAAGACACTCTTATCAGGCAGAACATTTCAAGAGTTTAGAGATTACTTCCCAGGACCTAAGGGCAAAGGCCAGATCTTTTAGGGGGCAAGATTAAATTCTTTGATGCACAATAAGGTAATGTTAACATTTTATACCTTTCCTTTTGTATGTATTTGCTTGATATATTATTTGTAGTATTCTTTGTAACCTTTTAGAAGTTTTGCTTTTGGCATGTGTCTTGTGTTGCTACATGTGGCAGGATTTTTATTTTAAATACTATTCTGAGAGCCTTTGCTTTTAAATAGAAAGATCGAAGCCATTTACATTTATCATAATTGAAATATTTGTCCTGATGTCTTTTTCATTTGTCTTGTTAGCATTTTTTCTTCTTGGCAATATAGACCATATTATTTGCAGATATGAGAGAAATGTTTTAAAATTCTATGACTTCTGTAATATGTGACAACCGTTTAGCATGTTTTTATTTCCCATACCTTTCCCTTTCCCTTTTGGTCTCAATTTAATTTGAAATTTGAAATTATGGACCCAGCTTATTTTACCTTTTCCATTTCAGTATTCTGGTTTTAGATTTTTTTTTTTGTCTTTGGCATTTAATTTTATATTCACCACAGTTATATGGTAAATATGTATATATGTAGTGTGTGTGTATACATATAATATGTATATATGTGTATATGCATGTATATATGTATATATTTATCACAGTTATATGGTAAATATGTATATATATATTGTGTGTGTGTGTATATATATTACATGTATATGTACTTTGTATATATATATACACACACATACACTATATATATGTATAGTGTGTATATATATGCATATATATGTACGTGTATATATATAGGATATCTGTATATAGTGTAGGAAATATATCTGTATCTAGTGTGTATATATATAGTGTGTATGTATGTATATGTATAGATACATATGTATACACACTATATATGTGTATGTATATATACATATATACGCACTATATATGTGTATAGTGTATATATACAAATACATATACATATATATGTATATGTATATATACACATATGTATATATGTGTGTATATGTATACTCTGTGTGTGTGTATATATATAGATATAGATATATAGATATATACAGTGCACATATACAAGTAAACTTAATTGGCCTTAATTTTTATTGCCAATGTTTTATATTTCATCTTTCCTGTCTTTGAATTTTTGTCTTGAACAGTATGTTACATCTTTTATACTATACCTTTTGAATTATTGTGTGTCTAGAAATGTCTCTTGCCTTTATGCATGAACACACTTGGCAGTAAGAGAATTATTTTCTGAAGACATTGATTCAATGACTTTTAGTGTTTCAGAGACAAAATCTTGAGCCAACATCATCCTTCATTACTTGTGGGTAAATTGTTTCATTTTCCCTCTACCTAAATGTTTAAAAGATGTATTGGTTTAGTCTTGGATTTTTTTTTTTTCCTTTTTCTGAGAGGAAAAACACCTTTGCAGGATATACTGGAATATAGGTCCTGTTTTCATTCATTTTAGCCAACACTTGAGAAGCCTTCAGAATCTATAGACTCACATCTTCAGTTCTCAAAGCTTTTCTTGTTTTACATTAGATAGAGTTCATGCTTTGTCTCTGAATGGTCTTGGATCAAAATGTCACTCATTTGCTTCTGCTCCCCTGCATGCTGCCCAGCACACTTCTATTTCTCAGCGGCTGCTCAGGGTCCCAGTAGTGGATGCCTCCTCCCCATTGGTTTTCATCTGTTTCCCTACCATGTTGGGATGTGGGGAAATTGTTCTCTAAATGGTTATCAAAGGAAAGGAGTTGTGCGGTTAAGAAAAATGGAGAAACAGAACTGTAGTCATGAAGATAGTTATGGAAACATTGGAAGGTGTTTCTGATCCGTGCCATGCTTGTGTTCCAG